CATACTGTTTTCAATTTATTTAATGAAATTCTTATGCCTTTTTAATATATCTCTTATCTAAAATAGATTATAGATGTTTTGTTAATAAAAAGAATTATTAGCCTTTTTTAATAATGAAAATAGGTAGCTATATGCAAAATGAGTTGTTAGACATGCAAGCGCTAGATAAAAAAAAATTATTTGTTAATTTTCTTTTGTTTTCTTTTATAAAGAATATACATAAAAAAGTATATTAATTTTTTTTTTAGGAAAACAGATTAAATGGTTGAGAAATAAAATAATGATAGAAAAAGACAAGTAATTTATTGACAAAAGCGCTTCTTTGTAGTGAATTTTTATTTTGAATTTAAAAAGAAAATTCCATATAAATAATTTATTAACTATTTGTTTAATGACTATGCTAGAATATTAAACAAACAAATTAATAAAGACCATATAGAGTTGCCTATACTAATTTAATGAATTTATTTATAATTTTAACTCTATAAACCATTAATCTGTTTTATATGTATAGCCTACTACAATGAATAATTTTTTTTTAAAAAGAATTTATTTATTTTAATAAAATCCCTTATTTTTATTAAAAATTTAAATCCTCATTAATTATTGATTTTAATTACATATATTTATGTATAAAGTTATGATTAGGTTTAGCAATTCAAATATATTTCGCTCAAATTCATAAACGTAAATAAATAATAAAATAAAAAGTACATTATATAAATATTATAAAATATGATAATTTTATTATCATTAATATAAAATTTACCTACATAAATTTAAAACAAAATATACTACAAGAAATTTTTTAGTCAACAACTCTTCTTTTTTTAATTTTTTGACAATTTTAATCATTTTTTTAAGAAAAATAAAAATATTTTTTATGCATTTTAAATTACGAAAAGAAAAAAAAAATTAACAGATTTTATTTTTTTTTTTTTTTTTTCTATCGCTTGCATAGCTAACTACATATTTCCATATAGCTATTACTTTTTATTCTCAAAAAAGTTAATAATACTTTTTATTATTCTATAGTATATAATTATAATAAGTAATTTTACAATAAATAAAATAAAAGTTTCTTAACATCCTCTTTATTAATTTTATAATTCAGAATATATAAAAATATTAAAATTTCAATTAATAAATCATATGTACAAACAAATATATGGAGATATTTTTTTTTTTTTTATATATTTTTTACCTATTAATATACTAATTCTTTTTTAGAAGTAATTGAATATTCTTAAAAAAAATAATCAACTATTTTTTCATTAAATAAATTTTTTATAAATTCATTTAGGAAAATGTTTTACATTCTAAAAGAATTTATTAATATAAGTTTATTTCTTCTTAATATAAAAGATGATTAGACGAACATTTTTGTTATGATACGCCTTAATTTGATTTATTTATTAGTTTCTTAAATATTTTTATAGTTATTTAAACAGTCAAATAATAAAGAGCATATGCAGAAATTTCTACTTGTTTTTCTTATTAAAATATGCATTACAACAAACACTAATTCTCTATAAATTCTAAAAAAAAATTTAACACAGAATTTATTTTACTTTTAAAATAAAATTTTACTAGTATAGTTTTTCAGCTATTTATCAATTAATATGAACTTTATTATTTATTCTTTTAGGTAGTATGTACAATACACATAAAAAAATATATCTTACATATATATATATATATATATATATATGTATATAATATTTTTTTTTTTTTTTTTTTTTTATACATACTATAAAAAGTGTGTAATTTTTTTTTTCCTTTTATTATACATGTGATTTATTATTTGCTCCTTCACTGACTTTATAAGTATACAACAAATTAATAAAGGAAATATAGGGAAAGCTCTACTTACTTTGTTTTAATTAAAATAAAAATATTAAACATATTATATACATTTGTTAATAGTATTAAATATTAATTACATTAATAGCTATTTTAGTTAATTTACTCAATATTCTATGTGTGTCTTATTTAATATTTCTTTTTTTTAACATTTCACAAAAAAAAAATATTCCACATCATAATCCTAATAAAAAAAAAGTAATTTTTTTTTATTAAAAATTTTTTTTTTTTAAAAAAGATAATAATTTATTATTATCATAAAAATTATTACTTTTTTTTATAATTTAGTGTTAAATGAAAAATAAAAAAGGTATATTTTATTTTTGTATATAAGTACACATATAAAAATATATAATAAAATATATCTATATTTTTTTTTTTAGTATACGCATTTATGTATTCATATTTTCCCAATATTTTAACATGCACCAATAAAATGTTTTTACTCATTTTATTTATCTAAATATTATTAAAAATAAGACGATAATACTATTTAAAAATCAACATATCAAAGCATTCATTACAATGTGAGCATTTCATAATACACATTTTCCTCAAAAATAATAAATTCCCAATTAAACTTTTAACTATATTTAATTACTTTTTAATACAAATATAAATAAGTCAATAATTTTATTTATTGATTATCAGTTTTAGAAAAATATTGTTACGAAATTATTTTAAAATATAAAAATTATTTCTTTTATATTTTTTACAAAAATAATTAAAATATTATTTTTTTTCACATTCATGAAATACAAATGTTTTTACATAAATTTTTAAGTACTATTTAAATTTATAACTTTTTAACTTTTTTTAAAAACACTTAGCTTCATGTAAAAGTGATGAAAAAGATAAAATATACAGAATGTGAAGTTATAAAAATATAAATATAAGAAGTTGTTTTCTAATGATAATATATAATGACATTTTAATGTTATAGCATTACAATATTAATTAGGAAGAAAAAAAGGAAAATATCTGAGAATGGGAATGATATCATTCATAAATATCATATTGGTGAGTTAAATGTAACTTATAGCATTAATCTTAATAACTTATAATACTTAATTATAGATAATTTTATTTAAATCTTAATAAAAAAAATAATAATCAAGCGTAAAATGTTTATTGTTTTAAGATTTAAAATTAAACATAATTTATACTTATATATAATATTTTTATTAAATTAATTGCATTATATAGTTAAAGGATAATCAAATAATACAAAAAAAAAAAAAAATGATAAATAAAAAATAAATTCAATGTATATATTTTTATTTTTAAATATAACTACAGAGAAAATAAAAAATCTAGACAAAATTACAAAAAACATATTGATTTATTATTAATATAATATGGATGAAATTATGTTAATTTTAATTATAAAAATGAATATATTAAATTGGTAAGTAGATAATAAAATGAACTATTAACATTTTTATGTGATAAATTAATTTTACGAAAATTAATTCATATTAATAATACTTACGAAAAACTGGAATATACAATATAATAACATATTTAACTATAATGGTTCCAAATAAAAAAAAATAATATATTTCTTTTTTAATTTTTTATTATCAATTGACACCTTCCATTTTATTATACAAAATAAATTTAATTGTAATATATGTTAACAAACTACGGAAAATAAAATTATTGGAGTTCAATATTTCTACTTCAAGTATTATGTTTCCAAATTGTGAAAAATGATCCTTTTTGAATACATTAGAAATTATTATTATAGGATGCATATTTATGCTAGCTGAAAAAAGAATTATAATTTATTAATTCATTTTAAAAATGTTCAATTAGAAATTTAATAAACTTTATATTTGTATGAAGGAGGTAATTATTTTTTAAATAAATCTATAATAAGAAAATTTTAAATAAGTTTTTATATAACATATATTAATAATTATTGAGGCAAAAACAGTTGTGTATCATGTATAAAGGCCCTATATATTTTATTACGATTATGATTATTTAATATAAATTGAAACTCATTATAAGCATACTTAATACAAGATATTAATATATAATTTATTTTCTATACAATGGATTCTATAAATTAAAGATTAAACAATTTAATAAGAAACATGTAGAGTTGTTTTTACTAATTTTTTTTATTTTAACAGCATATTAATTATAAGTGAGAAATTTTTACATAACCACATTAATAATGTCAAATAAATGGCTTGTTTAACATTTATATTCTTTAAATACGTATTTAAACTCGATATTTTTACTATTTTTTATTTATTCCGAGATAATTATATAATTTTATAAAGTTTTTTTTTTTTACTTTTATTAATACTTATGTGTTCAATATAAGAACTTTTCGTTGTATATAAATCATCTTATATTTACGCTTTTCATAATTTATCATAAAAAAAAATATTTAAAAAATAACTAAAAGAAAAAAAAAAAAAATAAATTAAAAAAAAAAAAAAAAAAAATAAAAAAAAAAAAAAAAAAAAAAAAAAAAAAAAAAAAAAAAAAAAAAAAAAAAAAAAAAAAATAAAAAAAAAAAAAAAAAAAAAAAAAAAAAATAAAAAAAAAAAAAAAAAAAAAAAAAAAAAATAAAAAAAAAAAAAAAAAAAAAAAAAAAAAATAAAAAAAAAAAAAAAAAAAAAAAAAAAAAATAAAAAAAAAAAAAAAAAAAAAAAAAAAAAATAAAAAAAAAAAAAAAAAAAAAAAAAAAAAATAAAAAAAAAAAAAAAAAAAAAAAAAAAAAATAAAAAAAAAAAAAAAAAAAAAAAAAAAAAATAAAAAAAAAAAAAAAAAAAAAAAAAAAAAATAAAAAAAAAAAAAAAAAAAAAAAAAAAAAATAAAAAAAAAAAAAAAAAAAAAAAAAAAAAATAAAAAAAAAAAAAAAAAAAAAATTGTTCTTCTTTCCACTCTTTCTTCAAATTAATAAACCACTTTTCATTTTTATATTTCTCTAATATACTATTTTTTTTATCTATTGTATCGGNACATATACCTATTATATAATAAAAAATACCTAATAATAAGCTTTGTGTGTAAAGATATACATAAAAAAATATATAAAACATTTTTGGGAAAATAAATTCAAATACTTCTTCTAATATTTCCATTTAATAATTTTCCTTCATTGTTGACATTGTATTTCAACGCTTACCACGGTGAACATTATAATCGACTGATTCCATTAGCATATCCATCCACTCTTCCCATAATTCATCTCTTTTTTTTAGCCATTTTCCAAATTTTTCTTTCTCATTCTCCTTCCATTCCATAAATCTCATCCATATATTCCATCTTTCTTTACTTTCCTTATTTTTCTTCAAAAGTTCGATTTGTTTTAAAAACATTATATACAATGATTCCATATAATTATTAAATTCAATTTGCATTTTTTTTAACATATTATCCATATTATTCTTGATCCATTTAGAATGTGTAACATGTGTACTTTTATCAGACCACCTACTAATCATATTATACTTTGTATCTTCCCAAATTTGATTCATTCTACATTTAATATTATCCCAGTTTTCTAATTCTGCTTCAATAAGTTCACTATCTTTAATAAATCCTTCATTATTCAATTTTTCTGATAATATTCTAGAATAACCACTTTTTTGATATAACTTAGAATACATTTCACTTCGTGATTTCAAGATACACTATGAAAAAATTAAGAATTTTAAAAGTTATTTTTTAAATTAATAGAAAAAATATGATTTAGATAAGAAACAAAAATATGCACATTTGAAAGATTTATGTTTCCTTACTTCTAACGGTAGACACAAAAGGATCAGAAATGATAAATGAAAATATCTAGAAAAAGTAAGATTTATGCAATTCATCTTTTTATATATTTTATTCCCATCTACATACAAATAAATGAAGGTGATTCACAATCATACACCCAGATGAAACTTTTTTCTGAAAGTTATTAGAGGTTTTGTTAGTACTCGCATTCAGTTTTTTTTTCTAAATGTAAAATAATTATCATTAAAAAAAAATATGTTTTTTCTTTTGAAGTAACTTCAAAAGATATATTTAATTTTAGACTTGCACTACTTGTTCTAAAGTAAAAAACTAAAACAGAATAATAATTAAATTTATAAGAATACAATAAAAAATATAAAATTATATGATATAGAAAAAAAAAATTAAATTATAGAATTATCATAAAAACTTAATTTAACAGTTTTGTTGAGATAATGTATTAATATATTTAAAATTTTGTACATAAATAATATACATAATTTTAATAAAAATTTAAATATTATCTTCTATTTAAAAAACTTCTTTTTAAAGGAATACAAATATTTAAATAATTATTTCTTGAACTAATTTTAATATTTATATACAAATAGCAACACTAATATAATGGTTCTTACCCTTTTCTTTTTTCAAAAATTACAAAAAAAAAAAAAAAAAAAATTACAAAAAAATAAAGCATAATACTTTTTTTATGCCTTTTTAATAAATAATGTAAGGGAAATTTTCAACATAATTTTTTTTTTGTTATACGCAAATAGCTAATATAACGTATTAAAATAATTAAGTGTATAAAATATTATTTTTCCTATATGATAAAATATTTTTTGTAGAAATATAATTTTTATATAAACTAGACTTCCATTACATCTGGGTTTACGTATAAAAGGTTTATATATTTAAATTTAAATAAGATAAATATTTAATTTTAAAAATGGATGAATTAATACAAAATGAATGAATAGAACAATATGTTAATAAACTTTTAATATTAGTGCACTATTTTTTTTTTTTTTTTGGTTGTGCATTTTCATCATTTTTAATTTTTAATTTCTTAATAAATTAAACAACATTTGTTTAGTTATTTTCTTATTTGTTTTTAGAAGAATTTTATTTTTGAATATATTTGTGAAATTTAATACATGAATAAATTCTAAAACCAAGTGTTCAACATAAACAAAGCATTTCATTGCATTCAAATAGAAATTTAAAATAAAAAAGTTATTTTTTATTGTTACAAAGCTTAAAAAAAAATGTTTCAACTCCTGTAAGAAGTAAGAGATGTAATAATTTTTTTATCTTTCTTTTATATATAATGTGTATTTCACTTAAAATTTATTTAAATTAATCTCAATTTTTTAATTCTTTTTCATTTACTAGATTTTTACTATTTTTCCTCTATTTTTTCATAATGTGAAACCTAAAGATTTCCTTATTTAAAGTAATAAAAAAAAAACAAAAATAAAACATGTCAAAAAAATAACAATATAAATAACATAAAATATGAAAATAAATTAAAATTAAAAAATAAAAATAAAACTTACATAAAAAATTAAAATAAAACATAAAATATAATAAGTGTGTGCTACATCACATTTAAATTTTGTGTTCATAAATACTTCAAATTTAAATTAAAATTTACATAAAAACTAGAAAATGGTGCATGCTGTATTTCGCTAATATCTGTAATAACAAATAAATAATACACAAAATTTAGTATATTCATAATAAAAAAAGTAATGTAAAGATGGTAAACATCTAAAGGACAATTATAAAAAAAAGGAAAAATCGAATTTTTAATTTATTTTAATAATATATTATATATACATGCATAAACATATACATAAATATATGTATATATGTAACATGTATATGTAGTAGAGTTATATCAGTAGTAATAGAAAAAACTGAAATATAAATTATTTTCATGCAATTATAAAGTGCTTATTTTTATAACAAAAAAAATGATAGAAAAAAGGAAAAAATAAAATAATTCAAGTTATAAGGGTTTATATGATTATATTTATTAGAAAAATTATAAAATTAAAGTAAAACTAATAATTTTTATTTTATACAATTTCATTATTAAATAGGGAAGATAATTTTTAATTAAATATATATTAAATACTAAAGTGAAGATTTACTGTAGATTTAATAATTCTGCATTTAATTTTAGCAAATATAATACAAAGACAAAAAAAAAAGAAAATATAATAATATTAAATAAAAAAATAATTTAGTAAAATAACTTTATATATTACTACGTAGAAAAAATATTTAATTAAAGCTTTCAAAATATTTAAAATTAATATGAAATTATAAAAATTAAAACAGTTTTTCATAAATAGTTACACGATAATAACTATATATATATATATATCAAAAGTTAAAATAAATATAAAGTTATAATGATTGAATTAAACTTTTATTTGATGCATTAATGAAGAATATCATTATATACATCATAAATTTAGTTTTAAATGGTAATATTATTAAAAATTAACTTTAATGCTAATACATAAATTAGAATAAAATAATTAAATTAAAGTAAAACAATGAATTAAAATTACAGTTGAAACTATATTCATCTAATTGCTTTTTCTTTTTTTTTTTTTTTTCGCTATCAAAACTATATATTATAATAAAAATTATATAAAAATTTTAAAAAAAAATATTTAAGAGGAAAAAATTAAAATGGAGTTAAATCTTAAATAGTTTAAATATTTAATCTATTACAATAAAAATACTACCAATAAAACACCAAAGAAGGCTTTAGAAGTAACAAATTTCATTAGTGATAATCATATATATTTTCTATAATTATAATAATCATTCAAAACTAACAATAACTAGAATAATTTAATCGAAATAAAGTAATGTAAAATATAATGAATAAATTTATTTGAATATTCTTCATAATGAAATAAATATATATAAGATAATAATTTAAGACATATTAATGAAGTCTATGTTAGAAGCAAAAGCATAGAAAATTAAAATTGTGTTTAAAATTATGAAAGTTCATGTAGTTCATTATATATATACAAAGATACGTATTAACATTTTTTTTTTTTTTGTAATTTTTTCTAATTCATGGTAGTATAAGAAAAAATGGACGAAAAATTTAACTTTATAAATTTTAAATTTCAATTTATACCAATTATTTGTAATAATTTTTTTTGCAATTTTTTTTAGATAACTATTTTTTGCGTAATATAGACGTATAAATTTGTAAATTAGCAAATATAAATTTTTGAGAAAAAGCATATATTTTATTTTTTTTTAACTAAGTCGTACTTTTTTATTCTTTTAAGTTTTAAAGATATACTAGATATTAACTCCTAGGTATACCATATATAAGTTTATATGCCGAAAAAAAATTATTTTTTAATATTAAAAATTAAATATAATTTTTTTATAAAGTTTTTAATGCATACAAGGTATTAAGCGTATTTTTCTATGTTTTTATATTGTAAATTTTTAAAATGAGTGTTATTATAAAAGGAATATACATATTATTTTTTTGCATATTTTAAAAAAAAATACCTTAAAAATTTATGATTTATTTTCTCACTACATTCATTTTTATTGAAATAATACATATTCTAGGCTCAAATAGACAGACATAATATATAAAATTATTATATTATTTCATGTAAAATTATATGATAAAAAAAAAAGAAGATATGTAACAAATTAAATTTTATTTTTACATGAAGAAATATTATTAATCATAATTCTTGAGGTGAAATTACAATGTAGAATAATAATTAGACTCTAAAAAAATTAAAATATAGAGTAAGACGAATAAAACATATAAATGTATCATTCACTTAGAGTTAAAGATTTAAATGAAATTAATGTATTATTAATAATAATAATCTTATACTAATTTTATTCATAAAGTATCATTAATATTATTGTGTATATAAAGCTAAAGTACATTAAAAAAAATAGGAGTCAAATCAATAGCAATCGATTACTTTTATATAGTTGAATATATTATTTCTTTAAGTATAATAAAACCTAATTATAATAATATTATAATTAATAAAAATAACTTGTATAAAAAAGCTTATATTATATATTGACATAGTTTAATATAATTTTTAAGCGTTTTAAATACTTTTTGTTATTTAATAAATGAAGAAGTATGTTAAATGAAAAATAAAAGAGCATAATATCAGTGCTTATTATATTAACTTCATTTCCTTCTTTTTGTATTATTATATATTTTTCATTTTTCCGTTACACAGTATTTTCTTTTTTTTTTGAGGATTTTTCTAAAAGAATTAATAAAAATATTGCTTTAGGAATTATATAAATTGTTTAATATAAAAACTTCAAGTATATTATTTAAAGAATCAATGCATTTATTAAAAAAAATTTTTTTATTCTCATTATCTTCTATGGACAAAATATAAAATAAGAAAAATGATTTTAATTTTATCACATATATTCTATTAGATAGTTTCAACTGTGTAAAAATTTATGTAATTATTTTCTATTTGACATAATTGAGTATTTAATAATTTTTTCTCTTTATTTATATAACTGTTTCTTATATATTTCAATATATTTTTATAACAATAATTTTCATTATTTCTCTCTATTGCCATATGTTTTACATGTGTTATTTGTGTAATTTCTATAATTTTAATTTCATTTTTTGTATGTTTACTTATACTTAATATCTGCCAGAATTAAAATATAATATATGAAACAAAGACAATTGCAAATATTCTCTTTTTTTATTTTTTTTTATGATTTAAAATTTAAAGAAATATCTGATATTTTCCTTAAAAAAATACTTCTTTAAAAATATCTTTATTATTATATTTTAAAAAGTAATGCAAATTTAAGCTATTTAATTTATGTAAAGTAACTAATTAAATTTTAATTCTTAATTTTTTAAAATTAGTTTTGAAAGAATATTATTATAAATTTTATATAATAAATGCAATTTTAAATTTTAATTATCCTCTATTTATTTTTTTTATTATCTCATAAATATGTTAAAATTGCTAATTTATATTTTGAAACTTATATTTATTTTATATTATAGAAACAATTTTTATGT